GGGGGGGGGAGAGAGAGAGAGAGAGAGAGAGGCAGAGAGACAGAGAAGGGTGGGAGAGAGAGACAGACAGAGGTAGGGAGAGAGAGAGAGGCAGAGAGAGGCAGAGAGAGAGAGAGAGAGAGAGAGAGAGAGAGAGAGAGAGAGAGAGAGAGAGAGAGAGAGAGAGGCAGAGAGAGGCAGAGAGAGAGAGAGAGAGAGAGAGGCCGAGAGAGAGAGGCCGAGAGAGAGAGGCCGAGAGAGAGAGACAGATATAGATGATATACTCTGTATCTATTGACTCCTATGCCTTACTGAATAAGCCCCCAATATTAGTATGGACAAGCTGAACTACTAAGCCAGCTGGAGAACTACAACTCTGTGCCTGCTGGGAGTAGTAGTCCCCCAGTTTCTGAAACCAGACAGCCTCCCCCCAAGCTTCCTCTGCTGTGCTAATTGAATGGTCACCTCTCAGCGGGCAGATAAATCATCCAATTATCACCCGGATGGGGTTTTATCTAGCTGCATCCCAGAGCCCGGACTGGTCAGCTGACCCTCATCTCCCTGGTCTGGGTGTCTGGTCCATAGATGTGATTGGTCGGTCCTCTCCATCACAGGGACTGAAGTCATTGATCAGACGAGTGTTCTATAGAGACCGATGGGATTCAGGAATGAAATACATCCTCTGCAGCCAGAACTACAAGTCCCAGCCTGCCCTACGACAGCACGGTTACTGGAACTTCTGGGAGCCCCACACATATTGATCTGCGACCTCAAACAAGCTGGACAATTAAAATCTCCGACACATACAGTATTGATTGAACCCATCTATTGGAAAGTGATCGGTTAATCAATAAATCAATAACAAACAGGTGCTTATCGTTGTCTGAAACAAAGATAATCGTGCGATCGCTCGGAATCGATCGACAAAATCCCACCGCGGCCAATCAACTTGCAGGAGTCAAAAATCAACCTTCAGCTCACTAAATCAAATAAAAGGTCCGTGGCTTCCAACAATGGATTGTATGATCAGATTGAGCCGTACATAGCCAGTTACCTTAAAGCTGACCACACACACATTACAATCTGATTGTACAATCTTTTAAAAGGCGTTGAATGATGGATTGCACTATCATACTGATATGTATGTAGCCAGGTACCCTACAGCTCACCACCCACATTACAATCTGATTGTACAATCTCTTCTAGAGGCGTCCAATGATGGATTGCACGATCATATTGATACATACGTAGCCTGCTACCTTAAAACTGACCACACACATATATTACAATCTGATTGTACAATCTCTTCTAGAGGCATCCAATGATGGATTGCACGATCATATTGATACATACGTAGCCTGCTACCTTAAAACTGACCACACACATATATTACAATCTGATTGTACAAACTCTTTTAGATCAGTAGTACAAGGACCTTCCTGATTGGATACAAATTGATTCGGTAGGGTCCTCATATCACATAGTCTGGATCAATCTAAAGTACACTGTACAGAAATTGTATGATCAGATTGTAAGGTGTATGCTAACCTTTAGACATCTTCTAGTCTGGGTGACAAGCTGCCCCCCTACTCACTATGAAGATGAGATGGACACAGGTGAAGATCAATCAGCCACTTCACACTTCAATCCAGGTGTTGGCGATCTACAAAGCCCAGATCCCGGTTGGCCGATCCCTTTGCATGGTCCGATCTCCCCTGGATGATGATGATGATGGCGACTGATACGATCCACCTGTTCTACACTCAATAGAAGTCCTGAGAACTCTCCTCTTACCTCGTCAGTGTCCGGCCGCCGATCACAGTCTCCGCTCCAATAATCCGTATAGAGGAGGGGGATCGGGGCGATCTGAAGATGAGTCGGGTGGTCCGGCTCGGATCAGATACGACC